TGCTGCTCTGTGCCACCCACTCCTTCTTAGAGCAGCGCTGGCCCAATCCAGCCCAGTCCACCCCCGGCTCTGCTCAGTGATGCCTGTCCTGTGCCTCCAGCGAGAGCTGGATCCATCCCCCTTTCTGCATCCTCATCTTCCTCTGCCTGGGGATTTCCTCCCCTGGGGAACCTTTGTCTTCTTCTCCCCCGGCTGCTCTTTTAGCCCTTTTGAAGGGGAGCACAGCAATGCTGCACCCTTATCTCTATCCGATACCCCCACCCTGCCCCATCCCCAGCTCTGGGTCCTAGAGCAGCATCACCGCTGCACCCGGGGCTGGAGCATCACAGACCTTTTCTCTCAGGGCCCTCGGCCCCACCAAAGCGATTCCAGGGAAACTTTCATCACCGCTCCCCTCCCTGTGTCTGCGTAAAAGTGCCACCACGAGTCGGGAGGGCCAACTGTCTCTGGCTCAGCTCTGATCTTGCTGTGGGGCTATGCCCCTGGAATTGCCATATCCCAGTTTTTCCCATTGGTATTTGCATGGAAAGGTGTCTGGATGCACAGACCAGCAGATCACCCCCAAGACATGATGTAAGGACGTCATTCTGATCTATCTGTGTACATCATGGCTCACTTTCTTTGCCCAGCCCCTGAAAGGAGATTTTAATAAACCTAAAATGAGAATTGATAAACTGCAGCTAAAGGCAGGAGCTGGCTGGCTGAGGATGGAGGGTGCCTTGGCAGAGAGAGTGACAACTGACTGTCCTTTCAGGTGGCTGGGACCTGTGCCTTGTTCAGCTGCTGTGGCTTTAGGGGCTCAAAGCTCGGTTGGTGTAGGATTTACTTGTTGCTTTTTCGTCCTCGTTTTGCACATGGCATTTCTCTCCCTGAAGGGCTGCCCAGTCTGCAAGTGCAGAAACGTTTGCAGCAGGCAGGTGGAAAGCCCTGCTCGCACAAGAGCATCTGCTCGCGTTTGACCTGTGAGCCGGGAAAAATCGCCAGGGGAAACCAAAGCATCTCTGGTGCCCCAGCCCGGGTGGGAGCTCCTCTCCTCAACTCGCTCCCAGACTGAAGGAGTGTCTGCTCCCTCTGGTGGCTCCAGCTCCAGGCTCTCCTCTCCCCGTACACCCTGGCACAGATTGGGGCAGCTGCTCCTGGGCCACAGCTCATGGTGATGGGGCAACTGAGGCCATGGGGCCGCTCAGCTCTCAAACACCCCTCTGCCTTCATCCAGCCAAGGACTTCAAAGCCCAGAACATCCCACTGCCTGTTACACGGCATCTGGAGGCAACACCACGGCGATGTTTTCAGGACAAGTAGCACCTTCTTGCAGTCAGCAGGTAAATCCAGCCAAAAACGTGCTGAATTAAGTTCATGCCATCCCTCAGGTAGGGTGAGAGTGCAGGCAGGTCAAATGCTTCCTTTTGTGACTTTTTTTCCTTCTTCAGAGTGTTTGCACCATGCTGGGAGCAAGGGCTGGAATTACAGCTCATGCCAGGCAGGGAGTTTTGGGACATGCAGGGGTTTGTGTCCCTCTGGAGCCAGCAGCATTTGCTAGTTTGGGGAACCAGCTGCTGGGCAGGAGACTCCCAGTGAAAAGGACCTGCAAGACGGATGGCAAGTCGGTTCTGTGGGGTGTGCAGAGCTGAGCACATCTCTTTCTAGAATCTCTCTAGAATTTGTGTAGAAAGACAAATTCCGTGTCCATCCCATAAAGCGTTCAGACGTGCTCACAGGGCGATACAGTGCAGCACATGGGGAGAGCCTGCCCAGAAAGCCTTGTGTGGTGGGGAAAGGCCACCAGGCAGGACAAGAAGGAATCTGAATGCCCTAAAAGCTGGGGTCTGGACAGCACACGACGGCTCAGGGATCTGGAGCAGAGCGAGACCTAAAGCCGCCCCGAAAGCAGGTTCGGGGGTTGTATTGATGTCCCAGCCAAGCTGCAGCCCTTTTTCACAGCACACGAGAGTCGATGGGATTCTCTAGTCCCCTCTACCAAATCCTCACTAACAAATCTTAGAGAAGGAGTTGGACCCCAGGTGGAAAATGATCCCCCGCCGAGAGGATCCCCTGCAGCCGCGGGAGGGCAGCAGCTCCCCGCAGGGACAACGGGGCTGAGCTGGAGGAAGAAAAAAGGTTCAAAACTTCTTTTAAAGACGAGAAAAGCCCCCAGCTCCTGAGGCAGAGTCCCCGTCTCCACCTCGCCCTCACCAACACCAACACGCACAGCTCTGGGTCAGGTTATCCCGGCGTGGGGCTGCGGTTCTTGCCCCGCGACATGAGCTCCTTTTCCAGCGCCTGGAGTGCCATTTCTGTGTGACGGGTCATCTCGTCCCAGGGTTGTGTCATTCCTGTCCCCAACCCCTGCCACCTGGTCAGAGAGATCACCCCAGGGCTCTAGGGAAACAGCCCTTCTCTCTCTTTTGCCCCTCCCAGCCTGTATTTTGAGTGTCGCTGAGTAGGACCTTGGTATTGCAGGGGAACAAGAAGTTTATAAAACACCTTCAGGAGACAGGCAGCTCCAGCATTTCAGCTGGGACAATTCCTGTGTGGAACCGACTCTCTGTGCCCAGTACAGGAGCAATTTCTGAGGACACAAGGGAGAAGAAAATCGGGTCCAAATTATGTGAACCAAAACTGAACTCCCCTCCTTCTGCAATGTCCAGGTTTATATCCAAACTGTTTGTTCTGCAAGGTCCAGTTTTTGGCTGGGTCTCACTCAGCTGTCAGCTCTGTTTTAGCAGAAATATTTCCGTTTGCACCAGTGCTCTGGGGAGGGGAGCTGAGAACTCACGCTCTCATGTGAGCATATATTTGGTCTTTTTCCCCTTAAATCCTTGAACTCAGAGGCAGCTCCGACCGGGTTTAAAACCCCAGCTGCCTTTCATGCAAGAGTTAATAAAAGGAAAGAGTAAGCAAGATTTTGCAAGGAATTAAACCCAGGCAAAAGAGCCTATGGGAAAGAGCCTGTTTCCAGTCGCGGGGCTGTAGGTCACCAGTATTTGCTGGCAGGGTTTATGAGGTCCTTGTCTGAGCTGAGGAAAAAAAAAAAAACAACATGAGGAACTGCAGGCAGAGCGGGTGGGGGCACTCCCTGACTCCAAACCCAGTGACGAGCCAGCGCAGTTTCCTCCGGCCGGCCCCGCTCGCCGTGTGTGTCATACACCCAGACTCATGATTCATCTGCTGGGCTGCTCAAAACCTCCAGAGCTGCTCTCCATCGCTCACGGCGGGGG